CCCTCTTGGGATTGCTCCTGGAGGTCTCTTGGGGCATCTTGGAGGCTTGTTGGGTCATCTTGGAGACGTCTTGGGCCGTCTGGAGGCCATCTTGGGCGCCGTGGAGCGATCTTCGGGCGTCTCGGACCTCTCTTGGATTGTGTTGGGGGCCTCTTGGAGCCCTCTTGGGGCGATCCTGGAGGATCTGGGGGAGTGTCCCGGGCTCCGCCCGGGGTACTTTTGATCCAGGGACCCCCAGGGGCCGCCCCGCGCGCGCGAACTAGAAATACTGTTTACCAGTTACCGGAGATCTTAGCTCGCCTCTGGCCCGTTGGGCCGGCGAATTTCGGATGGGCGATTCGGCAGACTGATCTGTAAACTGCAGTGCGGAAAGGCGGGCGGTTAAAACCGAGCGTGCGGTGGAGGGTGGGGGGTGTATATCCTAATGCTCTGGCAGAAAAGGGAATCGACGTTGTGCAATCGATGCGGTTCAATACGTGCTGTGGCAATCTACGTGGTGCAATTCACCAACGCTCGCATTCAGTTGTCAACTCCACTGCTCGCGCAATGACCCGAATGCCAGGGGCAACGTTACGGGTGGGAACAGGCTCATGCGAGACGCCTCGACCCCTAAATAGCCCATGGATCGCCGATAGGGCCTGGTACCCCCCCCCCCGCCCATGAACGTGCAGATTCGCTGTCGGGAGCCCATCGCCGATTTATCGGCGACGCATCACCGATTCCAGGTCGATGCTTCCCCAGAGCCCATCCCCCCCCAACCGTTTCCCATCAGGGGGTCCTGGTAAAATTCACCGCGGATACACGGCAGAGTCCCCGCGGTGTCGTGGGCGGCCTAAACGGAGGTGGTGATTAGGGCCCTTGATTCGGGGTGGATTGGCTGTGATGCCTCCCCGGATGTCATGGCCTCCTTTTCCTCCTCCTCCTCCTCCTCCTCCTCCTGCTCCTACGGGGCCGTTCCGTGCCCTCTTCGAGGACATGACGCCAGAAGGTGCGTGGCGCATGAGGCAGAGGAGGGCCGGAGAGCTGTGCGAGGAGGCGTGGCAACGAGGCCGCCCAGCGTGGATGGCTGCCGATCAGCAGCCGCCCTGGATCCCGCCACACCGACGATCCAGGTCGAGAAGCCGATCGCCGTCCAGAGCTGCCAGCCGCAGGGCGCTGCCGCCTGCCTCGCCATCCCCGTCGAATTATCTGAAAGATGGGCTGGCGTAGCTCACCATGCGCGGCAAGACGGCAGCTGCGGCGGCTGCCCCGTCTGCTGGATGGCCTCCCCACCTGCTGCGTGTGGATCAGGCCGCCGGGGCGCCCGTGGGCCCTCCGAGCGCCACGGGCCTGCGGCCCTGCCCGTGGGCCGCCGTTGGCGTGAGGCTGGGAGAGCGGGCCGCCGCTGGTGGGGGGGGCGCCGTGGGCGGGACCCCAGCAGACAGGAGAGGCGGCGCGTAGGCCAGGGCGGGGCGGGGAGCAGCTCGCTGAGCACCCTGAGGCCCCTCCCCCGAGCCAGGGGCAGCCTCGCGGCCGCCCCACGAGGAGGAGAGGCGCGCGGCGGCAGGCGGGGAGTGGCCCGCCCACCGAGCGGGGAAGGGCCGCCAGTGCGGCGCCCCGCGGGGCCCCTGCCGCGCCTGGGGGACCCTGCAGCCCCCCCAGGTCGTGTGCAGGGGCGAGGAGCGGCTGGCCGCAGCGGCGGCTGGCGGGGGGCGCGGAAGTGCCGCCAGCGCGGCGCCCGCTGCTGTGCGGTGCGGCGCCCGCTGGCGGGGCCCGCCCCAAGCTGCGTGCGGTGGAGGAGTGGCGCGCTGCAGCAGGTGTGGTGTGGCCCGCCTGCCGTACGGGGAAGGGCCGTCAGTGCGGCGCCCCGCGGGGCCCCTGCCGCGCCTGCAGCCCCCCCCCGCCGCGTCAGCTGACGGAGGGCGGGGAAGTGCCGCCAGTGCGGCGCCCCGCGGGGCCACCGCCGCGCCTGGGGGGCCTTGCAGCCCCTCCCGGGCCGAGCGGGCGCGCTTCGGGCGCCGCCGTCGAGAGCGCCACGGCCGCGCGCGGGGAGCGCGGCCGAGTAGTGGACTGAGAGACATTTGGGGCCCTGGCGGTCGTCAGCGTGCTGACGGTCGCCAGGGCCTTTTTGATGACGTCCCATCCATCCCTCCTCCTCCTCCTCCTCCTCCTCCTCCTCGTCCTCGTCCTCCGCCTCCGCCTTCTCCTCTTCTTCTCCTCCTCTCCGCCAAGCTGTTCGTTGTATGTGTTTCGCATTGCATGTATCCAGACAGGCCAAGTTCTCGAGGCCACGGCTTCACCCACCTGGTCCGAATTAGGCCTGGACACCGTCCGCAACCTTTGTCACATCGCATCGCATCGCAAGGCGCCCCTTCTTGTTTCAATGCGTTTCTTGACCCCCCCCTCGGGCCGCGCACGTGCTTCGGGCCATGATTTGCGACCCCCTCTCTTGGACGCCCCGGACGGTGGGGCTGAGAGAAAGATTTCGGGCAGTTTGGCGTCGGAGGTCCTGGGAGGAGGGACCTGGAGGCGCGCGGAGGGGATGGGATCGGAGGATAGTGAGGTGCGCATGGGGGCAGATCTGTAGTAACCGTGGACACCTCCGGCGCCGGGAGGCGCTGTGAAAGCCCGCCCCGCGGGGTCAGGTCAGGTCAGGCCGAGCCTCGCAGCAGACGGTGCGTGAGCACACCTAACGTGGATCGGTGGTTCAAGAATGGGGTCCTGAGGGATGGGGTCCTAAAGATTTGAGGAGGGATCCGAGGGTGGTTTCAAGTTGTCTGAGGCACCTCGTCCTTAGAACCCCATCCCTCAGGACCCCGTTTTTTGAGCCCCCGAGTGGGTCGAATGCCTGTCGCAGCCTCGCCAGCTTCTGACAGCCAGCTCCCGCTCGCGTGCTGCACCGCCCCGTCTTGGCGGAGGCAGTCCGCGAGAGACGCGCGTGCGTGCAAGCCGCCGCCGCCCCCCCCCCTTCTCCGCTTGTGCTCTTTGCCTCGGCGGAGCGGTCCGGCAAGGAGGAGGAGGAGGAGGAGGAGGAGGAGGAGGAGGCAGGCGCAGGGGAGCGAAGAATGACGTAAACATAACAACTCGGAGGTCGGCGCGGACTTCGGATCCGCGCTGGACCCCCCCCCCTGGCGCTCGGCGCCCGACGCGCCGCCAGGGGGGGTCCAGCGCGGACCCCGAGGCCGCGCGGGCCTCAGAGCTTTTGTGCTTACGTCCTTTTTCGTTTCCCGAAGGCGAGGGGGGAGGGGACGGCCGACGCCACGCTGTAGCGCCGCTCCATTGTCCGGCCCTGCGCCCTTCGGGGGCGCGCTCCTCCTGCATATACGGGCCGCTGTGCGTGTCCTGCCCCCTCAGTTGCCGTCCCCCTCTGCCGTGCGACCCGATCCTCGTCGGAGGTCCGGGGGGGGGGGGGGCGAGCACAGCCCAGATGACGTGTCACACTGGACACTCTGGTACCCAGGCTTACAAAGCCCAGGGTTCGCTAGGGATTGGTTTCCCCCCAAAACGGCGAAAACCTTTCCAAAACCCTCCCAAACCCTCCAGAAACCCTTCCAGGGCGGTTTTCGGAGGGTTTCGGGAGAGGTTCGGGCCGGGGTGGAGAGAAACCATTCCCTGGCGAACCCTGGACTTTCGGAACCCGGGCCTCCCTGAGTCGTGACACATCGTTTCTTCGTAACCTCCGGCCTCGGGGGGGCCCTTGACGGGCGTCGGGGCCGTCAGAGAACGACTCGGAAGGCGTCGAGACCTCTTGGGGTCGACGTTATTCGGGAGGGACAGAACACAGACACGATCCATCGTCGATTCCAAGGTGAGTATGCGAAAGTACAGGAGTTGGGGGGGGGGAAAACGAAAACCCAGACATTATCTTGGCGAAGAACCCAACCACATGCACCCCTGAGTGCCGCGTTGCGGGCACCGCTCTCGGTGGAGCTCACCTATGGGGCCACGACCCTCGTGAGGGGTGTATCGAAATGGGCGGGGGGACGCATGCGGACCCTGCCGCTGGGGCCTTCGGTGGAGCTCCCTAAGGTGCCACGATCCTCGTGAGGGGTGTGCCGAAATGGGCGGGGGGCCGCCATGCGGACCCTGCCGCTGGGGCCTTCGATGGAGCTCCCTATAGGGCCACGATCCTTGTGAGGGGTATGCGGACCCTGCCGCTGGGGCCTTCGGTGGAGCTCCCTAAGGTGCCACGATCCTCGTGAGGGGTGTGCCGAAATGGGCGGGGGGGCGCATGCGGACCCTGCAGGTGGGGCCTTCGGTGGAGCTCCCCATGGGGCCACGATCCTCGTGACGGGTGTGCCGAAATGGGCGGGGGCATGCCGAGGGCAGAGGCAAGGGATGGGATGAGGGAGGAGGGGGTGGAGGAGAGGAGGAGAGGAACGCGGGGCGCTGTCCCTTCAAAACGAGGCCCCAACACCACAGGATGGTTGGGAAATATAGGAAGATATGGGGAATCCTGGGATTTGTGTGTATTTATCTGTGTGTCCCTGGGCCCCTTAAGTTATGAAAAATTATCACGTCGGGGGTCTGGGTGATTTTCGCTCTGGACGAGCCAGTTACGAACGAGCCGTCGGCGTCTTCGAAGCCCTCGCTGGGACCCCGACGCGCCGTCTCGCCGTCACCGAAATTCCAGGCCCTGCAGTCGCGGCTGAAATTTGACACGACCGACACCCGTTACCGAAACTGTCCGGTCGCGGATGATCTGGGCCCCCTTCTAGCCGACGTCGGGCGGGGCTATGGGACAAGGCTAGATCTGTTCCAGAGCGTCCCGGAACGCTCTGAGCAGGCCGCGGCACCCCCAGAGCTGCCGCATCTCAGAGATTCCCGATGTATCCCCGTCTGATGTGGCCCTCGTCCTTCGAAGAAGACCAGACGCCATAAACATAAACTTTTCGCGCTCCGCGCGGATTTCTTGGATCCGCGCGGAGCGCGAGCAGTTTATTCATATCGCGTTGTTTCTTCTTCTAGTCCTGGCTTCGTCTAAACCCCCCCACTTGCTGGCGCGCGCCCGCGCCCGTCAGGGCGCCGCGGCGGAGGACCCCGCGGGGGCCCTGGTGGCGGCCGCGGCGGAGCTGGAGGCCGCCGCCCAGCTCAGAGGAGGAAACGGTACCCATACCGCTACCCTCGTTTTCGACCTTTCGAGCCTCCTGAGGAGAGGAGAGGAGAGGAGAGGAGAGGAGGATGGTAAAGGTGATGAGGATGGAGGGGAGAGAGGAGAGGAGAGAGAGAGGAGAGGAGAGAGAGGAGAGGAGAGAAGAGGAGAGGATAGGAGAGAAGAGAAGGAGAGAGAGGAGAGGAGAGGAGAGGAGCGGAGAGGAGGAGGGATGAGAGGAGAGGATGAGAAGGAGAGAGGAGGAGAGAGAGAGAGAGAGAGGAGAGGAAGAGGAGAGGAGGGAGAGAGAGAGAGAGGGAGGAGGAAGGAGAAGGAGGAGAGGAGCGAGGCGGAGGGGAGGAGGAGGAGGAGGAGAGGAGAGGAGGAGGAGGAGGAGGAGGAGGAGGAGGAGGGGGAGTTGGGAGTTCCTCGTCGCCACCACTGGATTCGCCTCGAAATTTCGCCTCGAAATTCTGGTCGGAACCCACCCCGGGAGAGGTCTGGGGAGTAGCGGTGCCTTTTTTGGCTTCCCCCCCGGCGCTCTGCGGGGAGGTCCCGCCGTGCTGCTGCTGCTGCTGCTGCTGCTGCTGCGGCTTGCTCGCTTCGAAGTATGCCGCACGTCATGGGGCAAACTTTCGGCTTGGAGCTGGCTGGGGGCCTGAGGTGGCCCAGCGCTGGTTCTGGCGAGCAGGAAGGGGGGGAAGAGCTTGGAGGCTCTGGGTTCGAGGAGGAGGGTTTTCGTCTTTTTCTACACCTGGGGGCCATTATCCCTTCCTGATCCTCTCGCCCCCTGGGCTCGGGAGTGCGCGGGTGGGGGTGGCGGATATGCTTTTGTTGTCAGTCCAGGTGTTGTTCCTCGGTTTAGGCCTTCGGGGGCCGCCGTTCAGGCCCTGGGGCAATCATGAGAAATCATCCCCGAGGAAGGGGTTGGGAACTCTGGGGCCGTGGATTGGAAGAATCAGATCAGAGATTGTCGGGTTCTGTTTCGGACGCAGTGGACTGGTCGGGTGGGGTGCGTGTCGCGTGCGAGGGCGAGGTCGTGCAATTCTTGGTCTGGGCAGCAGCGTGCGGCCATTGGAATAACGACGGGTCGGGAACCGACAGTTAACACAACCCCATAATTACCTGGCCTGATGGCCCACGAGCGCCACAAGACAGCTCAAGAGGGCTCCGAGAGCTCTGGCAGGTCCATCCTGCGCCTCCCCCCTGTTTCGTTTGTCTCTTCAGCGAGCCGCGGGGCGGAGGAGGAGGAGAAGAGGAGGAGAAGAGGAGGAGAAGAGGAGGAGAAGAGGGGGAGGGGGAGGAGGAGGAGGAGGAGGAGGAGGAGGAGGAGGAGGAGGAGGAGGAGGAGGACGAGGAGGAGGAGGAGGAGGAGGAGGAGGAGGAGCCAGCGGCGTCGGTCTTTCCTCCTCCCCCCCTCTCCTTCACCCTCTGCAGCCATCCGGGCTCGAGGATCGCACTCTGTGTGTTGCCTTCCGCCGAGCGGCCGCGGCAGCTCCCGCCTCAGCCGAAGAAGAAACAACGCCGTCAGCACAAACTTCAGAAGGGAAAAAACACACAGACACAATTAATCCTCGATTCCGCAGAAAATATGGGAAAATATGGGAAGTGGGGGGGAAGACAAAAACCCAGAAAATATGGGAAAATATGGGGGATTTGTTTTATTTGTGTGTATTTATTTGTGTGTCCTGGGGCCCCTTCACAAACTGTCGGAGGTCCGCGCGGACCGTTGAGAGTTTGTGCTGATGCCCGGGTCGACGAAGCGCCCCAGGACGGCCAAACCGACCACAACCACAGCCAAGGTGCTCATGGATTCTGCCCCGAGAGGGCCCTCCTGGGCAATCCACTCAGTGGTGGCTTTGGTTCTCTGCTGTGCCCGGATGGCCCTCCCGGAGCGTCACCGTCGTCGGGGGGGCCCGGACCATGGAGACGAAGACCGACAGCAGCCCCTGTCCATTTTGGAGTGCCGCCGCGGGCCGTGTCCATTTGAGACAGAAGGCCGCCTGCCCAACAGCGGCCGCTGTCTGTTCTGGACCACGGCTGTTGTTGGACACCGAAGCCATTCCTTCCGTCTCCGTGCCGGGCGTCCGAGCAAGGAGGAGGGGGAGGAGGAGGAGGAGGAGGAGGAGGAGGAGGAGGAGGAGGAGGAGGAGGACGAGGAGGAGGTGTTTCTTCCCCCGCAGCCTCGGGGGTGCGATGCTCGTACTCGCGGTCGCGCTGGGCCTCGCTGGGGCCGCCCAGCCGGGAGCCGCCTGGGCGAGCAGCGGCTGCGAGGTGGACACGGGGGGCACCTGCAACGTAGTCTCCAGGCCTGCGCCCCTCCTCCCGCCGCAGGCCTCCGAGTCGAGGCAGAGAGCCCCTGCGGGCTTCGGGCCGCGGCTCCTCGCTCGGTCGCTGGGCCCTCCGCCGTGGCGTCGTTCCCTCGGGCCCTCGCTCGTTGGACTCCTTGGGGGCCCTCGCGCGGTCCTCTCGCTGCGTGGGAGATGGCGCGTGACCCCGACCCACATCCCAAGCAGGAGGAGGAGGAGGAGGAGGAGGAGGAGGAGGAGGAGGAGGAGGAGGAGGAGGAGGAAGAAGAGGTAACGCCACCCTCGAAGAAGAGAGAGAGAGAGAGAGCAGCATCAGCACGGACGTGCGGAGGCCCGCCCCGATCTCTCCGAGCCGGTGCCGGCCTCCCCTGGCGGCGCCCTCCGGCACCTCCCCGCTGGCGCACTCCGAGCCTTTTATGCTCATGGTGTTATGATTCTTCTATCCCCGTCTCGTTGCCGCTGCTGGATTCGCCTCGAAATCCTAGTCAGAGCAGGCCCCTTGAGAGCTCCAGGGGGTAGCGGTAGCGGTATCCCTGTGTGCCCCAGAGCTTTGGCGGCGAGCCGAGGGGGGGCCATGGCAGCCCTCCGAGAAGGGCGGGGTGGCCTCGGCGGAGAGAGTGGGCCCCCTTGTAGGAAGCCGCGCCACTCCACGAAGCCACGCCACCCCACTCGGGGGGACGCCGACCAACACACACCGACGCCAACCCTGGGCACTGTATTCGAGTAGTGGCGAGGCGTCCTGGCTTGCCTATAGGCTATAGGCCCACCAAACAACCTAAGAACTGTTTGTGGCTTGCACGACATGTTCTCAGAACATCTCTGGCTGGGGCTGTCTTGTTTGAGCACCCCGGCTCTGTGCCTCATATCACATAAAATCTTCAGGTTCTGAGAACATGTCTAACATGTCGTGGTAGGCCTATGGGAATGCCGGGACGGTCGGTCCCTGCTCAAAGGGTGGGCGCTTGCCACGATCGGTGCAGGTGTGTCCGGCGCCCTCGCACCCACACCTCCCAGGAGGCGTGGCTCCTTCCTGGAAGGATGCCTCCCCTGCTCTGCGCCAGTGTGCCCGCCGCCAGGGGGTGAGACATCCTGCGTGCACGCCGGAGCCCTCGTGGGCCATCTCGTGCCAACCTCGGGCGGGTGGCAATGCGAGGTTTATATACGTATATCTATTTGTATCTCTCTCTCTCTCTCTATATATATATATATAGACGGAGGGTGAAGAGAAGGGCCCTAAAGGGGCCCTTGAGGCCTCTTTTAGACCCCTACTGGTTCTAAAAAGAGGCCCCGAAGGGCCCCTTGAGGGCGCTCTTCGTCACCCCCCGTTTAGGTCACCCCCCAGTGCCACCCGCCCGACAGCCTGGAGGCACCATTGGGCCGTCTGGGGCCATCTTGGGAGCTGTCCTGGATGCTCCACCTCATCGCGGCCAGGGGATTCAGACCTCGGGAGAGGGGGGGGAAGAGGGGTTGGTTAGCGAACCCCTCCCCGAAGTGGAAGGATGGAGCCTGGCATTGCGAGCCACCCACGTCCACAGGGTTGCTTAGATTTGGGCTCCCGGCGATAGCTCGGCGGCGAGCGAGGGGGGAATGAGAAGAAGGCCTTCTCAGAAGGCGGTGGGACTTCTCAGAAGCCCTCGCGCCTTCTCAGAAGTTTTTTGTGTCTTCTGGGAAGGCTCAGAAAACTTCTCAGAAGGCCGGGGGACTTCCAGGCCTTCTGAGAAGGCCTTCTCCTTCTCAGTTCCCCCCCCTCGCTCGCTGCCAAGAAAGGGTCCAGGAGCAGCCGATGACCTCACGGTCTCGGTTGCCGTTGAAGGTGGCGGAGGCCTGTGGGAGGTGCAAGCAGGTGCACGGAGGAGTATTGGAGGTGATGTTCGTCGTTGCTTGTCCCGGCTATCCCTACCGCCGTGAGCATCCAGGCTCTGCGGGAGGGGTTGTGGGTGCGAGCGTGCAGCACCGAGCGAGCATGGCAAAGATAGCAAGAGCATCTCACACGTCTTGCCACCCCCAGCAGGCAGGGGTTGACTGACTCTGGTGCGACGCGAGCCGGGGGGCGACGTACTGCTCGAGGGGGCCCGTGGACTTCAAGTGCCTGTGCAGGCCAGGGTACTGTAACCAGCATGGGATGTGCGCACGAGACACAAGCCTCCCGCGAATGTGCGACATCGACCAAAGCGACCGGGAGTGTTTCCGTTCTTACGCCAACGCCGTTCCGCCAGCCCCAGAAGCTCGGGAGTCGCCGAGGTGTCTTGAGGCGCTCCGTGTGGAAGGGCGAACAGTGGGACTCCGTCTTACTCTTCTCCTCTTCCTCACCTCGCCTAGGTATACATGTCGGAATGCGTTGAAATACTCCCAGGAGCCAGTTGCATTGCGCATTGGCATCAATTTGGATACCCGTACGTCCCGTACGTTGGAATCGATTCGCATGCCGCATACCATTGGAATCCATTTGACCTGCACCGACCCATTTGAAATCCGAGCGGAGTCCTTTGAAATAGCCATCGGAAGGAATTGGGAGATCCTGAAGACAGCATTGGCATACCTTTAGTACTTCATCATGGCACCCGTTGGATTCCAACAGGTTCCCCAACAGTTGGGATGAGCTTGGATTTTTACAACATATATAGAACCACCCAGATCGCGCGAATGCAATATGATTGGCCGGCATGCTGGGTCATTTCATGATGAGGAGTACGAGCTCATACAGGCAAGCCTATTCGGGCATGTTTATGCAACAAGCTATTTGACCCCGGGCAAGCAGGGGGCGGTGGAATTTCAAGAGTGCAGGGAGGCGGAGGAGTGCACGGGCAGACTGTACGGCGTGTGTCGCTGCAAGAATGGTTTCTGTAAGAACGAAGCGGGCGATTGCCTGGCGTCAAATGTGCCGTTGAACGTGTCTTTTTTGCCGGACTCCTGGGAAAGCATGTCGGCCGATGAGGTCGAGCAGGTCGATGGCGATGGCAAAAGACTTGTGGTAGCCGTGGGCGTCGCTTTGACCTGCGCTCTCGCTGCTGTTTCCGCCGCCGTCTCCTTCGTAGCGGCGCGCAGGGCCTGGCACCGCACGGCCGTGTCCCAGCCGTTGTTGTCATAGGTTGTTGCCAGTCGTGTCAATTGTGGCATCACGACGCAATATTTTTCGTGGTGAGCGGGTGTCATCGTCACATTGTTCCGCGACGCCGCTTGGATCATGGCGGGTCCTGACAGGGATGGCGCAGTTTTGTGGGTGCGCTTGAGCGCTTTCACACAGTATTCTGCTCTAGCGCACGAAACGAAGCCAGATCACGTTTGCCCGAGATAGACACAGGCACAGTGGGAGAATATAGAATATCTCATGCAGCGCAGGAAAAAAGCGAAGACATGCGGAGTGGCAGGCATCACGGGGAGCAGCAGCAGCAACAGCAGCAGCAGCAGCGGAGGATGATGATGGGGAATGAAGAGTCTCTTGGCGTCCAGACGCTTCGCGCGGCGCCCCAGCCGTCTGGATGGATGGAAGATTTTGGCACGCAAGGTTGTTCATGATTCGATCGATGAAAGCATACATGGGCGAGCAGTTGCCTCGAGTCGGAACCGCTCGAGTCGATCGTGCCCACCCCGAATTCTAAATGAGTCTATATTGGGGCTGGCCCCACATTTGAGTTCACAGAAATAAAAGTCTGAGTGATGATAGCAGATGGTCGGACGATGTACTCAGCCTGCGCGCGTCTTCGCTTAATCTTATACCTTCGATTATCTGATGCAGACTCAGTGATATTTCATATTCTGCTCGACAGTGCCTACCTTAACCATCCTTCCATCTGTATTCTACGCTACTCTATTCCAGCCTATCTAGTCCACTCCACCCTCTTCGCTCTTTGACCTCAAACCAGACTGCGCCCTACCCGGCCCGATCTGGCACAAGCCATTTGCCCCATCAGGAAATGCTTTGAGGGGCACACGTGCGCATTTTGCTTGTGAAGTAATCCAGCTGCCTGCGGCAAGTCCAGCCACCGTGCCAGTCCAGCATTCTGGGTGGCAATCGTTCGAAGGGCACGGGAGGCCGTCACGTGTAACCTTCAGGTCCCCAGGCTTGGGAGAGCCGTGATGATGTTGATGATGGTCATGTTGATGATGATGATGATGATGATGATGATGACGATGATGACGATGATGATGATGATGATGATGATGATGATGATGATGATGATGATGATGATGATGAGGATGATGATGATGATTATGATGATGATGCCTCTTTTCTCGTCGCCTGTCGCGTCCCTGCCTCTTTTCCACGGCGTTGTCTGTTTCTTGGCGTTTCGTCTTGTCCCCATCTCGTCTTCCTCGATCTTCCTCTCTGCCTGTCTTGCAGTGTTTCCCTCGCGCTCGTCGGGTAGCGCATGCTCCCAGTACAACCACGCTGTAGATGACTGGGCCTGTAGCTCCACCTATCGTGGTTTCGATTTGCAGCATGATGACGCAAGGAAGCCCCCGTCCCCACCAGGCCGCCCGGAAGAGGGAAACAATGTATGATGATGACGATGGTGATGATACTGGTGATGATGATATTGGTGGTGGTGATGGCGATGATGATGGGTTGTATGATAAAGCGTTGGAAGATAATAATGAGGATCTTGATCATTACGATGACGATGGTAGTGATGACAATTTTCACGATGAAGTTTGTTGTTGTGATGATGACGATGACGGCAGCTACGAACAGGATGACACGATGATGCTGGTGGTGATCATGATGATGAATGTCCCGTTTCCCCCTCTTCTTCCCTCTCTGCCTCCCTCCCTCTTTCCCTTCTCCTCTCTCTCTCTCTCTCTTCACAAGTCTCCCATTCCTCCGCATGCGCCTCCTCCTCCTCCTCTTCCTCCTCCCTCCTTCCTCCTCCATCTCTCTTTCGCTTTTCCCCTTCGCTCCGCCAGACGCGTCGTTAGGGTGGGCGGCCAGTCGCTTCGCATGGGGCTTCCCGCGTGACCACTGAGCTCGATGCTGCCAAGAGTTCCACGGATGAAGGGCGGCTTGCTCTCAACTTGCGGTTTCGCGCTGGCGCCGCGCATCATTCGTTCGAGCATGCCCCAACATTCCAGCAGTCATATTGGGAACGGGTTCGTCTTCAAAGTGCGTTTTCGCGTGCCATGGCTTCGCATGATATGACCAAGCGCTTCGTAACAAATGCACAGGGTGGGGGTATCGCTAGGTTCGACTTCAGACAGATGATTGGGAATCCATGAGTGCGCAAACCGCGCACGGATTTGTTCACTTCTTGTTTTTCCTGAAAATCAGACCCAGTGTCGCCAGTCTTGCAGACGGGCGGTCGCGGAGTGACAAGGGGATTATCGTAGCGACTTCTGAGGGGAGGGGGGGCTTAGGGCGCGAGGCTGTGTTGCAGCTTTGTTGATGCATCCCTCCCTCCTCTCCTCTTCGTGTCTCATCGCGCCGTCCCTGCAGTGGTCGGGCCCGTGCCGCCTCCTGCTCCTCTGTGCCGCGACTCGCGCTCCGTGGCCTTCGGTGCGCCTCGCTCGGCTGCGGAATGCCGACGACATCCATGGCCAGACCTGCCAGGTGCAGCGCCGGGGGGCACTTTCGGACAACCAGGAAAGCGACAGCTGCCGCCGGCGGGGTGGGCCGAATCGCCGAACCAGTGCTTTGGCGTTTTGTCAGGCCCGCGCGACGCTGCGTCGCACGCGCGGGCTGCTCGCATTGCGGCTGCCGCGCCCCGCGGTGCAGGAGGAGGCTGCCGTTCGATGGTTCACGGCCCGCGGGACGTTTCGCCTTCGGTTTTTTGTGCTGGTACACGTTTGGCTCCATGGGGTGCGGCCCAGTCTGGAAGCACCAGCTCACTGGCTGCGGCATTGTGGTCGTGTCCTGGCTGCGGGTGCCTGGTGGCATACGGCTGCGCTGCGCACGGCGGCAGCTGCGGAGCTGCGGGCCGTGCCCATCGTGCTCTCCCTTGCCATCGTGCCGCCACGCTTACGCACTGAGTGCCGGCACATCCTCATGGCAGCTGCGGCCAGTGCGGTCCAGGCCACCCGGCACACGCGCAATGTCGCGCAGCTTTGGTCGCGTGTGGCCACTCCTGGACGGCGACACCGCGGAATTCCTGACGCCTGGCAGGTTCCTCTGATAGCAGCAAAACATGTTGAAGCACATAACTCCAAGAATCGGGGGAGCGTAAGACCCGGGTTTGCCAGGACTCGGGTTCGCCATCGTTTTTTGACGATGGCGCCTCGGATTTTGACGAGGAGGAGTTTCGTGGGATGTCTGCAGCGGGCGTGGAGGCACATTAGCGGTCAACCGAACAGTTGGCAGAGCTTGGGCCTCGGTTCGGGCGAAGATGGTTTGAAGTTGGCAGATCTTGAGAACGACGACACGAAAAAAGGGCGAGCGACAGTTCTATCTGAGAGTATCGTGGACGGTGCAGCCAGGTCGAAGATGGCCAAGCAGTTAAGAGTGAACAGCAGAGACCAAACGAAACAAACATGAGTCCACTGGAGATTGTGCAGTTCACCCCAGAGCAGTACGTTTCGTAGTTTGGAGATCTTCGTGCAGCAGACTTGGACACATTCGAACAGCAACAAGCAGCCAAGCGAGTTCAAGGACACGTAAGTCCTGGAGCAAAGAGCTGGTGTAACGGGCAACCCAGCTACGCTGTGCCGGGACGTTATACACGGCATGCTATGCCCTGAAAATGCGCCGAAGAAGTGCTGACAAAAAAGGGCCAGGACCACTCTCCGATCAAAGGCGCGGGGGCTGGCAAAGGAACAGAAAAGGCAAATATTGTGGCAAAGCGAGAGGCAAAATTACGAGAAATCTGCGATCAAAGGAAAGACAGGAAGACCCTCCGACGGCACGGCGGTCGCCTGGGACTTCGCCGCCACGTCAGGGTTGCGCGCCGATCTCCTCGCCGCGTCGGCCGCTTCGTCGAGCGCGGCGACGGAGCGGCACGAGTAGTTCCAAAGGCAGCACCGAGACGCCGCGCGGCTGTGCGCGGCGCTGGGCTTCACCTTCATCCCCACGAAGGTGGAAGCCAGCGGCGTCGGGCGGGGCCGCGATGCACGCAGGGCCTTCGGGGTCCTGGCCAAAAGGGTGGCCGACGCCACGGGGGAAGACGCCGCGCTGGTTGCGGACCAGCGCACCCGGCGACTTTCCGTCCCCCTGCGCATGCAGGGAGAACGCGCGGGCGATGTTGCGGCGCTTCCAGACGCAAGCGCAGTCTGGAGGGGCGCGAGTGGCAGCGGCCCGCCTGACCGCGGCCACGACTACCTCCTCGGCGGACGCTGCGCGAGAAGCCCCCGGCGCTGCCCAGCGCCCCCCCCCCGCCCCATTCCCCCCCATGCTGGGCTGCGCGGACGCCCCCCGCGCCCTGTCGCCAGCGTCGCGCCGGCGTCCCCTGGCGCGCGCCGCCCCGCACTTCCTCGGCGGGGCGGCGGGTGGATCCCGCAGAGGGCAGCCCGCGCCGAGCCGCGGCGCGCTGGGCTCGGCCGGCCACCTTGCCCTGGCCCGGCCAGTCGGCAGGCCGCGCTGCCGGGCGGAAGGCGGGGGGCCGGGGCCCGCGGGGCAGGCGGGGAGGCAGAAGAGGGGCTAGGCGGACACAGCAGGCGGGGGGCAGGAGGAAAGGGAAGGGAAGAAAGCAGCGAGCAGAGAGGGAAGGAACGAGACAAGGAGGAGGGGGGGAAGCAACCGCAAGCCGAGGCCGCGCATGGGCCGCTCCTCCTCGCAGCTGCGTCTGCCGGCGGAAGGCGAGGGCCGGGGCGCCGACGACAAAGGGGGGGTCTGCGAAGCGAAAGGCAAATGCGAGGGCGAGCATTCCAAAGGCGCACAGAGAGGACTGAAGGGCCGGGGCGGGGAAATATCAAACCCGAGAGAAACTCGCATTGAAAGACCTATTTGCCCGTCTCTATTGGGATTGCGTCATGGAGCTCCCCTTCAAAAACTTAAGAGATTACTGGCGCGTGGGGCCGCCGTGGCGAAGTTGCCCGATTGCGACTAGAGCTCGCGGCCCGCTTTCCGCCCGCAGGCCGGGGAGGCCCCGCGGTGCCCGTCAATTTCGCGTTCGCTCATCACCCCAAGCGCGTCCATGGGTCAAAGAGCGCGCCAAACTTGAA